GCTCGCCTGTTGTCCTCAGGTGTGATGAATGACAATTATAAGACTATCCCATCTCAAGGGTTGAAGTTTGACTTAACTCCCAATGAAGTCATCTTCTATCCATTCAATGTACAGTCAACTTATTATTTGGCTCAGGCAGCAAATGTTATTGGGCCACCACGGCCAAAGGCAAGCTTAAGTCTCCGGTTAAGGTCTGACAACCATGAGCTGCCTGAGATCCTTGTGACACTAAATGCTGAGAGCTGGACCTGCAACCTTTTGCAAGTAGGCTCTACCCCTGACTCATGGCACCTTCCCCACAACCATAGTGTATTGGTAGTCACCTGGTTGAGCTGCTTCTCTGCATCTCCCTGCCAAATAGTGAGAAGAATCTTGCCTTTCCGTAACTTTGCTGGATCTCTGAGCAGGTGCAGAGTCTGGCAAGGGCTTCCTCACCACTTGGCAGGACGACTCAAGTCCTGGGTCTGCTAAAGGGCTGGGCAGACAGTGTGGGACATCATTACTTGGCAAGTGGACATATGTGTCCATTTTATAATGATACATTGAAAGAACGAAGTACAGCACAGAGTCAGGAATTAGCCTAACAATCTGCACATATCCCTCCTGTCCAGGTGCACACAACCATCTGTTGAAATCTCCACTGGCTGCCAAACTACTAGTCAGCATACCAAGAGCGCAAGAGGAGCAAGGTGTCCTAATCTCTGTGGTCGTGTCAGGAGTCATGTCAGCAGAGCCAGCCCTCTCATTGGGCAGCAGGAAGTGGCCTGCTCATGTCACAGAAATGCCTTAAAGGTCACAAAGCAAGGGTGTTGACAATAACATTTCCTGGGGTGGGTGGGTGGTAGTAGCACAATAGCGGTTCATATAGCAGTAGGTTAGCATAATTTGCATGAATAGCACATGCCACTACAACACAGTGGCCAGGATCCTACTGTTTCCTTATACCTCTGTAAGCGGAAGAGTTTACAAAGGTTCAAGCCACTGCTTCTGCTCTTTGTCACACTGCAGAGAGGAATACTTGTGCATTGCACTTACACCAGTGTAAAAACACTATAGGATTCTGGCCAGTGCCCTCTCTGTGCGCATCAAAATAATAAATAAATGAAGGACTGAGGAGCAAGTATAGACGGCCCCTCTGATACCCATGGCAAGACACTGATCGTCATTCCACTGACCATCGTATTTTTACTACTAGGGAGTAGGAGATGTGCTTGAAAGATTACCTGGGTCTGCCTTGCATATCAGAATGATTTATTTGTCATCTGACCCTATGATCTTAAGAAAATCATCACTAAGAATGGTAGCATATGTTATAGACAGTCCACCATTAGCAAGGAAAGAGAGGCAAATATCAGAAGCAGTCTTTTGATCGGTAGCATATGTTCTGGACAGTCCACCATTAGCAAGGAAAGAGTTAGAGGCAAATATCAGAAGCAGTCTTTTGATAAATCAGATTTCAATGGAATCTGGTCCTTAATTCCAGTCCCACCTCAACCCTCCTGTATTTAAGATGGAAAGTCTTGAGGATTTTGGTACCCACAAAAGTCAGGATGAATAGCCATCAGTCACTCTAGGACTTGGGTAATGAACAGAGAGTTGATTAACAGCTTCAGGAGAGTCTCCATTAGTACCAATTTCAGGGACTAATGGAGGGTGGGAAGCAGTGTAAAAGCCAAATACATAGCTGTAAGTCTCAGCAGAAGGAGAGAAAACAGACACAAAAGACAGACTCTTATTTACATAGTTGCTTGTCTAAGTGGAATCATGAAAGTATTCAACCGAACAGGTTCCCCTTTGTATTTCCAGTCTCACACTGGTTGTGACGTTATGGGTGCAGCCAATTGTGAGAAAACGTCCAAGATGGAGGCCTGCTGGAGAGGGAAAACCACCACACAATTGCCCCTATGAATAGTGAAAATGTCAACAGGATTTTGGCCAAACCATTTGCCTCCAAAGAGATGGTGTATGTTTCCTTCTCTTCCCCTTTCCACTGGTGTATCAGAAAGGAACAAAGTGATGAACATAAATGAAGCCCTATTCAGACAAGGAGTTTTCTGCCTCGAATGTTATAGCTTCAGGAATGGGAACTTTGGGTGCAATCACCCCAGGAAGGATTGCTTTGCTGGGAGCAATCTCCTTTGAAGTGACCTTCCATCCACCAGGGAACCACACCAGTCGAGCCCCCAAAAGAAGTAGCCCTATTGCTGGACCAAAAAGATCCAAGTTGGGCACAGATCAGGGTCAGGCTGGAGTACAGCTTTTCTTACCGTATATGGTGTGTTTGCCAGTAAATAGATCACAATGAATTGCATACCACAAGGGTCAAAAATTAAAGCTATGCGGCCATATAATATAGTATATATGTAGTAATTATGCATCCCCTTCTCCAAAAATCCTATGTAAGCTGAAATCTACATAACAATAAATAGACACAGAGCCCATAAATGCACACAGAGTCCATTTACAGACTGTTCTAGAGGGAGCATTTGTTCCCCCAAAAAACATCCAGCTGTCTCACCATTTCCCCCAACTTCCAAATGACTTAAAGTTTGATCTGGCATTTTCAGTGATAGAACACATGGTTTTGTGAACAATTCTGGCCCTTTCTGAAGGCATGCTTTATTTTTTTTTCCCCAGTTGTCCTGGATGCAGAGGGTTGTTTTTTTAAAAAAATTCTTTTGCAAGTTAAATTCCAAGTCTTCCCTCCCCCTCCCTATTTGCTTGCCACCATGTAGGAGAGTCCAAGCAACTGACTCACCCCATTTCTCTATATTTCTTCTTCGCCACAAGCCTGATCACACCACTGGTAGAAAGACCACATGTCTAGCATGAGGGTGAAGTTTGCCCCCCCTCTTGCTCCCTCTTTTTGCCATATATATTTGTTTTCCCTGAAGGCACTTAACAATCTTGACACTAAACTAGACAAGACAAGTCCCCTGCTTGTTTGCAAGCATCTGGCACAAACTGGGGGGGGGGGGCCTTTACCCCCATTTGGAAGAGAGCCGTATGTTTTTTCCTCTTCCTCCACCCCATCTTAAGACTTTGACCAGCCTGACTTCAGGGAAGAGAGCCCTATGTTTTTTCCTCTTCCTCCACCCCGTCTTAAGACTTTGACCAGCCTGACTTCAGGATTCCACCGTCAGGCCTGCCTTCTTCACCTGCTTATTGGAAAATCCTGCCTGCTTCAGAGATCTGGAGAGCTGAAAAAAAATCCTGCCCACTACTGAAGCAGTAACTACACATCTGGTTAAAAAAAACAACAGAAGGGATTTGCAGCTATTGTCCCTGTCTGTGCACAGCACAAGAGCTAATGCAGTTTAGAAATGCTGCCAAGGCACACTTCTGCAAAGTACACCAGGGCTTCCGTCACCAGCCAGCCAGGGCTGGAAGGCTTCCTAGACACTGAGAGTGACAGGGTTGGGGCCACAAAGTTCTTGCCTGCTCAACATGTGGTAAAAATAGAGCCACTGGAGCTGCTGCTTCCGGCAAGAATGATGTTGCCACCGAGCCAGTGCTTGGTGAGGCTTACTGCATACCTCACCACTGTCTGGAGGGCAACATTAGCTCCCGATAAAAACGATGTTGCCACCAAGCCAGTGCTGGGGGAGGCTTTCTGCCTACCTCACCACTGTCTGGAGGGCAACATTATTCTTGCTGGGGGTGGTGGGCAGCTCCACCAGGTCTGTTTCTGCCACATGTAAACGCACTGGGGTCAGTAGCAGTGGTAAGCCTCCAAGCACTGGATGGCTGATGATGAGCCAGGGGCTGCTCCACATGCTGGGTTAATGCCAGGAAGTGCATTAAAACAGAATGTGGAAACAGGTGGTTCTACACCTGTTTGCATATAATCTACAATAAAAAAAGCTTTGCTGTAGGTTATCTGCAAACATGTTCCTGCCTCGGTATATATTTGGCTGGTCCTAATAAAGATTTTGGCAGAAGACATTTATAGGAATAATAAGGATTTATCCATTATTGTAGGTGAAATGGGACACTGGAGATTTTGGGTTCTGCTATGTTAGTGGCAGGGAGCAAGCTGATGTGGACTGCTTTGGAACGGTTGGGTTGACAGGAGCGAACTAATCAAGACCGATGGCTCACATGGAAATCATTCCTGCCAATACTTTGAAGCAATAAGAGAGCCAGTTCGGGATAATTAATTACTTCTCCTCCTCAGTAGACAGATAGGGGAAATTATTCTTTTTTACTGTATATGGACTATCACTGATGCACTGCATCCATTACAAATAAAAATAAATAAATAAATCTTTTATTTGCCTTCTCTTAAAGGGCTGGTCGAAAAACTGCGTGCAACCAAAGCCACTGCCATTATAGCTTGGGGACTGACGTCCATCAAACTAATTTTTCTAAGCTTGAGAGTAACAAAGATGGATTACAACAGTGTGATAGTTCAATAACTGATATTTAAAATGATAAGAAAAGGGAGGGGGGAGTCCTGGTAATGTTTATATGGAAATGGCAAGGCATAATTTGAATTTGCCTAGGCCTAGGGTAATGGATGTAGTGTTGGAGGACAGCTTTACAGATTCAACATGTTTATTCTTGTAACATTTTGCCATTCTATTATTAACCATCTAGGAAAAATTACTGGCGGAGTTGGAGAAGAGCTTTACAAATACTCTTGACAGCTAGAAAGACAAATAAGTGGGTTCTAGATAAAATCAAGCTAAATCAAGTTGAAGCTCAGATGGTCATATCATTAAAAGACCAGATTCACTGGAAAAGACAATACTAGGAAAAGTTGAAAGTAGTAGGAAGAGAGGAAGTCCTAATATGAGATTAACTGACTTTAATTTGCAAGACCTGAGAAGGAAGTTAATGATGAGACCTTCTGGAAGTCATTAATCCATCATGTTGCCGTTTGCTGGAAGTGACTTGACAGCACATAAGAGAAACAAACACACAGCCAACCAACACTATACAAAACCACCTCACACCAATCCTGATGGGAAGAAAAAAGAAGTTGCAGAAAAACTCACCATATCGACATCTGTATTGACAGACCCCATTCTTCCCTCCTAGCAGCTCGGAGACAAAATCTAAATAGCCATTAACAGCTTCAAAGCTACCCCGGATGGCCCCAATCCCCCAATCGGAGAAAGAGCTTTCCTCTGGCAGTACAGATTGTTGAGTGGTGTGGTCTTGCATTGCCTCTTCTGTGCCTTGCCCTATAGCCAGGGAGATGCCAAAGATCAGTGCAGTGAGGATGAACTTCATTCTGAAGGCAGATCAAACAAATTTGCACCCCAGGGAGAAGAAGTAAAGGCAAGTAACAGCAATGGGACAGTGAGTGGAGGGCAAGGAAAACTGAGTTGTTTGAGTGCACAGCATGTAAACACTCTTCTCTGCAGTGGACTTTAAACACTGTTCAGGTAATAGAGATTAGGTCACCACAACCAGGGAGCACAAAGTTCAGACACTTTGGTCCAAGTGTAACTTGACGGACACAGGATGTTGCCCAATATTTAAGGCTCTCTGGATTTGTCCCCCACCCCCTGCAATCACTCTATGCTCACATGGTTACACATATAGATGCCTGGCCTGACAGGACTGCAAAGCTAAATTATCCAATCATGTAGGAAAATTGAGTGTGTAATTAATACTGGGGACTCTTGCAGCCTTATTATCCTGATTCTGTGTGGCCCACCAGATGTTGCTGGATCAGAACTCCTGCAATTCTCCCTATTGGCTATTAGAGCTAAGGCTGATGGGAACTGAAGTCCTACAACATCTGGCATGTTATGTGTTCCATAGTTTTACTTTAAGGCAGCGTGTTACTGTATGTGTTCCATAGTTTTACTTTAAGGCAGTGGTTCCCAACCTTGGTTCCCAGATATTCTTGGATAACAACTCCTAATAATGCTGGCCAGCACAGGTAGTGGTGAAGACTTCTGGGAGTTTTAGTCCAAGAACACCTGGAGACCAAAGGTTGGATACCTTGCAATGCATCTCCTTGCAATATTCCTGAGTTTGCCTTTGCTTCTTTTTCTCCTAAGTATAACCAGCTGGGTTTCAGTTTTGCTAAATTTCTTGTTTTCCTGACTGCAGTGCTCTATCATTCTGCACACATCTTGGACTGCAACTATGTGTTCAAATAGCATGGGACTTGCTCCATTTCTGAAACAAATAAATTCAAAATATTTTTATACCGACCACATAACACAAAGGCTGTTTCAAATTGGTCCAGTCCTTTTTGCTCCCAAAGCAGCTTTTTGTGTGGTTAGTTGTGATATATTCTTATAAAGACTGTAGGTGGTGTTTTGGTGACATAGGCAGGTTAGTTGTCATATTTATTTATTTAATTTATTTTATATTCTTATAAAGACTGTAGATGGTGTTTTGGTGACATAGGCAGTTGAGGTGTGATGTAGAGGGCTGGGGGGAGCATCAATACCCTGTATTTTTTTCCTCTCCCCCAATCATACTCTCAATCATACCCCAATTTTTAAAAAATAAATCTTGCATATATGAGATTAATGCTAGATCATATTTATTTATTTAATTTATTTTATATTCTTATAAAGACTGTAGATGGTGTTTTGGTGACATAGGCAGTTGAGGTGTGATGTAGAGGGCTGGGGGGAGCATCAATACCCTGTATTTTTTTCCTCTCCCCCAATCATACTCTCAATCATACCCCAATTTTTAAAAAATAAATCTTGCATATATGAGATTAATGCTAGATCACCCTACCAACTTATAGCTGGGTCATTACTATTATTTCCCGTATTAATGCCCCATAAAAGGATCCTTAGAGACAGGACCACAGGAAGGAAGGATTGGCAGAGTCGCGATCAGAGGAAGGAAGGAAAGACAGAAGGCTGGCTGTGGGCTGCAATGCAGATTGCATTGCATCCATTATAAAGGGTGAACTCCCAAATCAATCAATCCACAGCCCGTGTGTGAGCACTGACTGCAATTTCAAAGGTAATACAGGTTGTGAATCAAATCACAGGAAAGCTGAATCACTCTGAATTGGCTTTCCAGTGTAGTCAAACCCTGAGCTTTGAAATGCTGCATTTTATTCAGCTTGTTTATAAGCAAATTCATGTTTCAGGAACCCTCTTGGAGAAAGCTAGAGCAGAAAAATGGCTTGAGGCATTTTCCACACCACAGGTACCTGTCAGTTTTTTTCTGGAGAACACTGACATTATTTGTTTCCAAGGAGTAGCTGTGTTAGCCCCACACCACCCAAGAAGCTTATATAACATTTAAAAATACTGTGTAATCCTAGACATTTCTAAAGCAGGACTACATTGAGTTGTGTGGGACATACTCCCAAGTAAGTAGTCTTGCCAAGTCAGCAAGTTTCTCTTCCCTGAAATTTCTGGCTCCAAGTTTGAGACCAAGGGTGGACCCAGGAGGCAGGATCTTGTGTAGTAAATCCAGAATAATGTATGTATGTAAAAGAGAGACAGAGAACGTTGATTTTCTGCACTACTTCTTAAACAAATATTGGCCAGAACCATTCTATAAGCTTGTGCTTCCATAAGTGAATTACATACAACTTGGTGACAATTTTCAAACTAATGGTCCTTAACGAGGTGCAGGTTGTATTCTTGAGCCCTTCATATGGTCAGGCCCAGGTGCCGGCATACAACCAGCACTTTCTTAAGGAGCAGCAGTTTGCTTCCAAACATTGCGTGGTTTTCCTTACGCATGTGTAAATCCCCAGCATTATTCTGGCTACTATATGTGCAACACAAAAAGAGGCTTCAGCCTTGGCCTAAAACAGTGGGTCCTGAGGCCTGGATCAGCAAACCATAGCACACTCCTCTCTCCTGAGTCAAGGTGTTTACTGGCTAAAACCAGCTTCGTTATTTTGGCACAAGAGGCAAAGAATCTCAAAAGCACTTGTCCTCAGCCCTGGCAAGAAGAACCGCAAATTAAATTTACTGCACCCCATATTTGCTGCCTGACGAGGCTGCCTTACTCTCCATAAAGGTGGGTCCAGTCCTGATCGCAAACCAAGTGGGAAATTATAGACTAGTCACAAGTGGCACCATATACACACATGTTTTTGTGACAATTCAACATGTGTGTTTCAACCCAGCCTTCTGATTTGAACAATCCTTGAAGCTGCTCACTTTAAAATAAGAAAATAGATTTCAAACCTTTTAAACTGACCTAGCTAAAACGGCCTGTTAAAAGGAGAGGCTTACAAAGTTTTTCTTTGGACTATAAATTCCAAAATTCCCAGTTGGTGGACATAGTAGATGGGGATAATGTGCACTATAGTCCAAAAAAAGAGTAACTCTTCTCAGCTCTAATCAAAAGTAACAATGACCACAAGGGCAGTAAAAGAAAATCCCCAGATTACCTGGTAACTAACCTTCCCTTTCAGCAGTTCTGTTTATTTGCTGCCTTTCTCCCCATGGGGGACCCAAGGTGACTTGCCACAGGTAAAATAAGAAATTTAAAATAAATTTAAAAGAAACTTTTAAAACAAATTTAGAAAGAAAAATACGAAAATACCTGTTTTATTATTACAACTATTAAATTCAAAACACAATATTTGATTTATATTATGTGACAGATAATGTTACATATTTATATTTATGATTTATATTTATGATTTATATTATGTAACAGATAATGTTACATAGCTACATAGACAGTGCAGCCCTCCATAGTTACATAGATAATGTTACATAGGCAGTGGAAGACAGGAGGGCCTGGCATACTCTGGTCCATGGGGTCACGAAGAGTTGGACACGACTAAACGACTAAACAACAACAACAGATACAGGTTGTAACCAAAAAACTTAGTTAAATATCAGTATAATGTGAATGCTGTTCCTAATATTGCAATTTTTGCAGCTCTGACTGTGTTATTTCAGGGATCTGCTGCTGATTATATTTTATAACATTACACAGCATTGTTCCAGATGAATCAATGACTGTGGGGACTACTGAAATGTGTTTCATCCACAAGTGAGTTATTTCTATTGCCAGATCTCTGAATTTTGTTAATTTTTCCCGTTCTTTATCTTCAACTCTGGCATCACCTGGAATTGCAATGTCAATTAACATTTCTTCATTGTATTACTATTCTGTCTGGTGTATCATGATCAAGACATCTGTTCATATGTGAAACAATTACTATTACTATTACTATTACTATTACTATTACTATTACTATCATCATCATCATCATCATCATCATCATCATCATCATCATCATCATCATCATCATCTGACTGGATCACTCAGTGAGTTAGGTATCTGGCCATGGAACCAGAGTTTGAATGTTCGATACTTGTGCCTTTTGTGAGTAAAGCTAGCCTGTGTAGCCTAGAACAGTCCCAGGCATGTCCAGAAAAAGTAAATGGTAAACCATTTCTGAGTACTCTACTTGAAAACCCATGGAAAAGGTCACCAAGTCAGAATTGACTTTTTGGCACATCATCATCATCATGCTATGCGGGGGGGGGGTTCTTTTATTTGAGTATGTATTAATAAAAAGGAAGGATTCTGTACCTTCACAAGATTTAATGCCATTCTAGAAGGCAAGCGAGGCTTCCTAAATGATGCAATTATACTACAATATGTCTCCAGTGATCCCAATGGAGGGCTGCACTGTCTATGTAGTTGAATAGTTTAAATTGTTTAGGTAATGTTAATTAAGTTTTTTTTACATACTTAAGTCTATATTTTGTATTGTAAAGTATTTCCTTTGTGTGTGTTTGGATTTTATTTTTTTATTTTAATTGATTTAAATGAACATTGAAAAACCCCACGTTATTTCTGAGCTGTGACTGAAGTTGCAAGCTGACAGCATCTGGAGGCCTGCATGTTGCCCATCTGTATTTTAACTGCATGTTGGTGCCTACCTATGTCTCCTGATAAGGAGGGACACCTCTGCTGTGTCTCTTTCATTTCTGCAGGTCCACCAAGTCAGAGCAAAGATGATAATCTTTTAATGGTTGAAAAACCCCACGTTATTTCTGAGCTGTGACTGAAGTTGCAAGCTGACAGCATCTGGAGGCCTGCATGTTGCCCATCTGTATTTTAACTGCATGTTGGTGCCTACCTATGTCTCCTGATAAGGAGGGACACCTCTGCTGTGTCTCTTTCATTTCTGCAGGTCCACCAAGTCAGAGCAAAGATGATAATCTTTTAATGGACTGACCTGAGTTTCTGAGCAGTTGCAAAACAGCAATGAAAGGTTGTGGAAAACATAAAATTAGAGTAAACGCCTTCCTCTTCATATACTAAGTGAACACCCCTTCTTATCTTCCTGTTTATTAATATATTGCCATTTTAAGCCGTTATCAGATTGGTTGAACCTATATACTGTAAGATGACAAATGCCTGTTTTCCTTGCTGTCTGATTTTTTTGTTTGAGGATGGATTA